TTTTAAATGTTATATAGTATAAGGTGTATTTTATACTTTTAAAATACTAAGTGGTTTAAACTATTAATAAATTAGACCTTTAATTTGATTAATCTTAAACCATTTAATTATGATTTATTAATTGTCTCTTTTAATTAAACTCTTAATTAAATTAATAAACCATAAGGGTGCAATTTGAACTTTTTCAAATACTAGGGTTTTAGAATTTAACATTTCAAAATTAAAACTTTTAATCAAAATTTAAATTCCAAAACTTGAGGGCAAATTTTGAAACCTTTCAAAATATTAGGGTTTAACTATTTAAATTTCAAAAAATAAAACTTTTAAGTTCAAATTTAAACTATAAAACCTAAAGGGTGTAAATTGAAACTTTTCAAACTTACTAGGTTAAATATTTGAATCATAATAATCCTATATTATCCATATTTAACCAAATCCACCAATTTTGATAAGGATAAACATACCAATCATGAAAAAAACAATTTTAGGCAAGAAAAACGAGTTTTGGTAATTATCCTCATCAAAAACTGCTCAAAAAATCGAAAATCCCGGCAACAGCACCCTGTACTCGCCGAGTCCACTGATGGACTCGTCGAGTTCAAAGCTACTCGCCGAGTCCACTGATGGACTCGCCGAGTCGGCGGCGCAGACAGCAAAAACTTCGACTTTTTGATCCTTTGGCAGTTCACTTTTGCATCTATTCAACTAGAAAAACGACCTAAGCTCTGATACCACTGATGGGTTTTGAGCATAACATCATTCCTAGGTGTACATGCAACCCTAATTGCTTGGATCTAGGTTTTTCTAATTTGAACATACAACATTGAATACCAAGCAATAAACCCTAGATCTAGCATTCTATAATCAAATTTAACATATAACTAGGGTTTTGATCATACCTTGATTGTTATGTAGCAATAACAATCACAATCCTTCTTGATCTTGACTTTTGAAAGCTTAGTGCCTCAAATTCTGCACCTCTAATCGAGTCACAAACACCATAAGCAACAAGATGAACAAGGAGAGAGGGAAGAGGCACCAAAAACGTTCTAGGGTTTCTCTTAGAAAGTTAGGGACATTTTTGGCTTGCCCAAGGGTTCCTTTTATACTTAGGCTTCTAGGGTTATCAACTAGGAAACCCTAATCCAGCTGCTTAGTCCTTAAGCAGCCCAAAGACCCTTCTAGAAGACCCTTGGACGATTTCTATATGGACCTCCATATAGAATTCGTCCATGCTTCCTTTATGGATCCTAAGCCCAACTTTGTAACTATCTTATAATTACAGTATCAGTCCCCTTTATTTAATTAATCTCTTTTAGCCACAATATTTATTCTTAATTAATTCTTGACTAATATTAATTAAACAATATGATTTCTCTTTTAATATATTATTCTTATAATATATTAATAAATCATAATTAATCATCTTTTCCTTAATTCATCCTATTAGTTGCTATGGTGAAGGCAACCCAAAAATGACCATGCTCATAATCGGGTCAAGTACATACCAAAATAGTTATGGGCTTAGACACCTAATCCAACACATAGTGCCTAGTGAGTGAGGTATTTATGAATTTCTAGTCTAGTACCCTTTTTGTACTCATTTACTATGATCGAATACATCTTTTAGCATCCAAATCACTGTGTTCTTTAATTCTGCATGCCAAATCAGTTGCTCATAATTCATATCAAAATTGTTATGTATCAATCAAGAGATAATGACTTAAAAGGGTAATATATTTTTCGATTTGCATACATCTGGTCACTGAGTTTTTTTTCGTTTACATTTACCCCTTCAACTTGTTTAACTGTACACATTTAGTTCTTATGACCGATTATTTCAGGTAAGCCGAAACAAATGACTTAAAAGAGTAATATAATTCTTATTTTGTACACATTTAGTCCTTAATATTTTTTTTTGCACATTTAGTCCTTAATATTTTTTTTGTTGCAAAATTAGTCATTGTTGTTTTTGTACACATTCAGTATTTATGACTGTTTTTTTTTTGGTTTTCCTCATGACATATTATGCGAGACAATCCTTAATAAAGTGTTTGGGGTTGTTCATACTTATGGTCACCGCGACATCGACTGCTTAGTTGTTTAGTTCTTGTGGTTTGGCTTAGGTCTTGTGTTCTGAACGTCGTAACTTCTTCAAATGATCACAAATTTTAACGCTCTTTATATCCACACATACGTATTTGAGTCTACTACAATTTTTGTTTAGATTATTCCCGTTAAAAAAATGTGTTTTAATTACGATTTTATAAAAAACACATACATACATTCATAAGGAACGCATGGGTATAAAGATCATAAGTAAAAATGTATTACTTTTTAACGGAAGTAATCTAAATGAAAGTTATAGTAGACTCAAATACGAACGCATGCATATAAAGATCGTTTGAAAAAGTTTTGACGTTCAGAACACAAGACCTAAGTCAAACCACAAGAACTAAGCAACCAAGCAGCCGAGGTAGCGGTGGTCAAAAGCATGAACATCGTCCGATACCTTATTAATGATTGTCATGCATAGGATGTTGTAAGAAAAACCATTAAAAAAACTGGTCATAAATATTAAATGTGTACAACAACAGCGATGACTTATTTTACAATATAACAAATATTAAAGACGAAATATACAAAAAAATATTAACGACTAAATGTGTACAAAATATAAATACATTATCCTTTTAAGTCATTTTTCCAGCTTACCTGAAGTAGCATGTCATAAAGACTAAATGTGTATAGTTAAAAAAGTTGAAAGTGTAAATATGAAAAAAAAATAAAAAATAAAAAACTCATAAACTAAATATGTAAAAATCGAAAATTATATTACCTTTTTATCCCACGAATCAATCATTAGGTCATCCGTTATACCCACCACATACCACATATGTGGTGGGTGCCACATCAGCATCACATTCCCCTACCACTAACATAGGATACCTAACACTAACACACCACTCCACATCATTATTTTTATTTTTTTTTAATTCAAAAATACAATAAAATTATATTTTTTATAATTAAAAAATATTCATTTTTTGTAAACTAGTTTTTTCATTAATTATAAAAATAAAATTACAACTTCAAACTACATTACTTAGTTAATCTAGAAAAAAAAAACATTACATTAATTAAAAGAAAACTAACAAACATACATATAAAAAACCTAATCGTCGTTCATGCTACATTGGTACAAATGTTCCGCGACATCTTCTCGAAGATTGAAACACGTTTTAATGTTATGAATTTCAACAACTCGCTCAATTGGAACGACAACGTCGTTCGGATCATACGTGCAAATCGTTCAACCTTCATCTTCAATAGTCATGTTATGCATTATAATACATGCTAGGACCATTCGTTTAATTCTTTCTTTATCCCAGAGTCGTGTAGCATATTTCACTATATGTCATGTCTGCTTAAGGACTCCAAATGCCCTCTCGATATCCTTTCTCGCCGATTCCTTTTTTTTGTAAACAACTTTGCATTTTCACTTCGAGGAACCGAGTATGCCTTCATCAATGTAGAATAATTCGGGTATATCCCATCACCAAGGTAGTAACCGTATTTGTACGCGTGCCCGTTCACCGTGAACGTCATATCAGGTGCTTTGCCGGTCCAAATATCGTTGAAAAGTGGAGACTGGCCAAGAACATTAAGGTCGTTATTAGACCCCGCTACTCCAAAAAAGGCATGTCATATCCACAAATCTTGAGATGCAACAACTTCTAGGATGATAGTTGGTTCACCTATATCTCCTCGAGTGAACTGACCACGCCATGCATTTGGACATTTTTCCCAAGCCACATGCGTACAATCTAGACTGCCAAGCATACCCGGAAATCCATGCCTCTCTTCATGAGCCGAATATAATCTCTCAATATTACGTTGAGTAGGTTTGCGTAAATATTGTTCGTGAAAAACCTCATACACACATGGAGAAAACCAATCTACACATTCAACTGCGATCCTCTCGGATACTTTCAAGTATTCGTCAGATGCATCAAATGATATACCGTATCCCAAATACTTAAGAGCAGCCGCACATTTTTGTATACTACTAAAACCCATTCTTCCTCTAGCGTCGGGTTTTTGTTTGAAAAAATCATAACGAGATTCTAAAGCATTACTAATACGTAAAAATATAGTCTTATTCAGACGGAAACGACGTTCAAATAAGTCGTCATTATAAAGACAATTATCGGCAAAGTAATCACGTACCAATAAGTCGTGTGCGGCTTGACGATCACGATTGACGACCGCCCTTGTACGATTGACGTTGAAGAATGTATGGACGAATTCTATGTCGTCATTCGAGTCAAAAGTTTTTAAAAATTCCATATGTTTTGTGGAATCCATGTATATGTATTTTGTGGTTTTAGAGAATGAAGGCTTTGTGAGAGAATGAAGGTGTGTTTTGGTGAAAATAGAATGTTTATTTATTTGTGTATTGAATTGAGTTTGAAAACAAAAGGGTCAAATGACTGTTCAACGGTCAACAAATGAATAACCAATCGTCGATTTCGTTTACATTCGTCGTCGGGAACACGAAGAACAACGGCCACGCCCGACCACGGAATGTCGGGGTGGTGTGCACAAAGTTTTCTCGTGGCCACCTGGACCACGAATCGTTTCGTGGTATGTATACCACAAGACCTTAGTTTCTATGTATGTCTTAATGAGTGGGTTCAACCATTAGTTTCTATGTATGTCTTATTAATGCTCTTTCTCATTGTAGTAACTTTGAAAAAAATATTAACAAAAATACTTAAATGTTAAGATCAATATTATAAAATATGCCCCGTATCAAATTAGTAACTATGTTTCATATCACCTAAAATATATATATCAAAATTTTATTTTTATTTTAATTCAAGAAGAATAAATAAAGAAATTCGAATAAATTAATTTCATGGACATATATAGATTCTTTTTTCATCTATGACATTTTTTTTTTACAAAAAGTAAAAATTATTAACTACTTTGCATCTATGGCCAAATCTGAATATTTACTTCTCAATTTGCTTCAAGTCCCGATATTTAATTCTCAATTTCCAGTAAATCATAAATTCGAAATAAACCCAACAAACAAACAAAACATATAAAATCCATTGAAAGCTCGTAGTAATTGTATGTGTTAAATTTTAGTTTTCTAAAACCAATACTTTCATTCTCTTGATTTTTGTTTGAAGCATTGTGAAGAGCGGTTTTAAAACTTGGTTTCGTTTGCTTTTGATCACAAGACAAAAAACGAAGAAAACGTCAAACGCAAACAAATTTGTGTGACATAATTCATATATACACAGACAATAATGGAGTCTAGTTATTGTCATGACATAACTCCAATCATTTCTGTTTTTCTTGTTATTTTCTCCGGTTTTTCCAGCTAAAGTATTAAAAGATTTAAGGAACGCAAATACAACCTTCCACTCAAATAAGAAGTTGACTAATAATACTACGAAGAAGATCAACAAACCCTTCGTCAAGTCAATTAAGGTAATTTTCTTTATAAAAATTCACATGCTTTTTGTTTCCCTTATGATTTTAATTTCTATTATATAAACTAACTATAATGTTTTTTTTTTCTTTTTGTTAAATCAGAGCCCAGATGGTGATATAATAGATTGTGTTTTGATTCATTTACAGCTGGCGTTTGATATTCCTATTTTGAAAGCAACAGGGCCATTGGTATATTTATCGAATTATTTATAAGTAGGCTTAAGCTTTTACTTTTGTGGAAAAAAAGACTGCATTTTTAAACGTATACTTCGGTGTCAAAAAATAAAAAGTAAAAAAAATTGTTAAAAAAATTCTATCACTTTTTACTTTAAAAATATAAATCTATGTTCTAGTAAATTATTATAATAAAATACTAATCTGAAAAATCTATTAGATGTAATATTTTGTTAAAATATGTTTACAGAATTTAAATTTTACATTAATTTTCTTAAGTTATACTTCCGAGTCTTATTTTCGTTCGTTTTCTTCATACATAATTTTTTTTTTATCAAAACTTCGTTTTGATAGTTTTGTGGTCCATTTGATATTGTATAATCGCCATCATGATATATGTAGATTGTTAACATTTTTAAATCACATTCTACAAACGAACTGCAAAGGAGTTACCCTGCACATTAAAATTATGTTTTCATTCTTAAATAATTTCTTTTTACAGTTTTTGTTTTTATTAATTTCCTTAAGATATACATCCAAACTTTATTTTCTTCAGTCTCCTTCATACATACTTGTTTTGATTAAAACTTTTTTTTTCATGCTTTTGTGGTCCACTTGATGTGGTCTAATAGTTGTGTTATTTGTGGATTGTTGATATTTATAAATCACATTCCATATACAAATTACAAATGAGTTATTTCACACATCAAAGTTGCGTTTCGGTCCCCTGCACAATTTTCTTTTGTAGTTTTCGTTTTTACAAATTGCAAACGAATTCTCTGCTGCAACTTGAAAAATGACTTAAATACTATTTTTTTATGAATTGATAATGTTTTCAATTTGACTGGTTCTCCTAAATACTTAAATGAATAGGATCCACCTCAGATACCAAATGGGAATAAGAATGGGGGAATAGAAACAGAAGTTAAGCAGTTATGGAATTCAAAAGGTGAATCATGCCCACAAGGAACAATTCCAATAAGAAGGCAAACAGAAAGTGAGATCTTTACATCCGATTCCATTTCCACGTTTGGGAAGAGAACTAGCAGGAATGATTTCTCTCCTTCTGATAATGGCCATGAGGTGCAACATTTTTATTTAATTTTTGTTAAATCAAAAGAATATAATATTAGGAAAGAAAATCTTAAACGTATCACGTTCATGTAAAAAGTAATAATTTTTACCGTTGTATAAGAACAATATTTAATGACAATTTAAATATTAAACATACCTTTCAAGAAAAAGAAAAAAAAAACACACACACATACTCAAATTCATATCATGAATTAATTTTACTTACACATGCCTTTTCTTTTCTCGAAAAAAAAATCTATAACATCTCATTGTTATCATCATAATAAACCGGTAAGTATTTAGGATATTTAATTCCCATTATTATCATCAAAATTAAATATTTATTAAAACTATACATCAAAAGTAAATAATCTATATAGTAACCATGTAAATAAGATGACGAACAAACACAAACGAGGATTTTTTATGTTCGTTTATTTAACAAATTGTATTTTTTATGTTCGTGAATATGTTAAACGAACAAAAATAAACAAACATAATTGAACATGTATGAACATAAACAAACATATAATATACTAATTTAATTAAACATAATTGAACATATATAAACATAAAATGAGCTTAAATGAATGAAGATAAATGAATGTAAATGGACAATATAAATGAACAAGAATTTGTATTCATTTTCGTTCATTTATTAAATAAACGAGTATAAACATACTTTTTGCCGAATAATTCCCGAACAATTTGTTGAACGTTCGATTCGTTTACAACCCTACATGTATGTATGAGTTATAATATCTAATAGAATATGTATTTAAACTATATATTTATGGGTAATATGTGGTTGCAGCATGCAATTGGGTACGTAACCGATGGAGAATTTTATGGAGCAAAGGCACGTTTAAATGTATGGGCTCCAAATGTTACAAGGGTTGGTGAATTTAGCCTTTCACAAATTTGGGTTATTGCGGATGTTCCAACTCATTCCTTGAGCACTTTTGAAGCTGGTTGGCAGGTACAGTCATTTATATATATATATATATATATATATATATATATATATATATATATATATCTATATATATATATATATAGAAAAGGCAACTTAAAAACTACAATTTTAACAAAATTTAGTCAAATAAATATATATATATATATCATATATTATATATATATATATAGCCTTGATAAATATGTGGTTGTTATGTATCTAATATTAGGTATAGAACCATAAAAAACTACATAATTTTAACAAAATTTAGTCAAATATCTCTACCATATTTTTTGTATCCTCTATTAGAGCTTATGTTAGGCTTTGTATATATTTTTTATGGAGTTTTATAAGTTTACTTTTTGCTCTACAAACCGTGTATAAAAATATTTTACCAACTACAGATAGTTCGGTATATTGATATTTATTACCAAAAACTAAAATGAAAGATTAAAATTGTTCATTAAAAAACCGATAAACTTCTTCCAATAATCCATAAAAAAACAATGCAAGTATACATAAGGTAGGTGTCGTAAGAAGTTCTGAGGCTTCTACTAGAGGTCTAATAAAAAACACATTCGAAATACATAGATTTTGGGGATGAATTACAAAATAGAAAATAATATGGGTTCAAAAGCAATTTGAAGAATCTAACAGTGAAAGAAAATTATATTTTTTAATCAAAATGAAGTCAGTTTAGATGGTTTTATACATAATATTAAATAAATGATAACCACATATTCACTTTTTTTTTCTCTCTCTCTCTATATATATATATATATATATATATATATATATATATATATATAATATTATATATATATATACACATGTGTGTGTCATTTATGTAATATTAGGTTTTATATATATATATATATATATATATATATATGTATATATATATACACACATATTTTTGTGTTTACCTTTAATATGCTTGTTGCTTAGTTCGATGATGTTGATTTTTCATATGAAAATATATTAATAATATATACCGAATGGAAAATTGCAAGAAACAAGAAAATATTATATTTATGAAAATATTGTAGTAATATATACCGAATTGAAAAAGAAAATCTGCAAATATATATATATATATATATATATATATATATATATATATTATATATATATATATATATGACAAAAAAGTCATCATGATTTTTCTTTTGCAATTTAACCATCAGAATCGGATATTACTTGCAATTTGGTTTAATTTGTAGGTTATCACAAACAATAGCAGGTTTTGATGGTTAAATTGTAAATAAAATATCAATGAGAATTTTTTTTGTCAATAGACCAAAATGTAAGTATTCTTTTTTTTAATGCATAATAATTTTTAACCTTAAGTCTTATCTATTTTAAGATTAAATTATAATCTATTTTTTTGCTAAAACAACCATTATAATTTGTTTGATTTTTAATATATGATAATAAATAAATATAATTTTTTAATTATACTTCTATTTAATATAATATAAAAACCGATTAATTACTAATAGATTAAATTACACACATAATCCTTATGGTTTGGGGTAATTTGCATCTTTGGTCCTTAACTTATTTTTTAACTCTGATAGTCCATATTATATGTTTTTGTTGCGTCTTTAGTCTCTAGTCGACTTGAATTGACTATATTACCCTTAATGACATTTCTTTTCAGTTTTATATTGTTTTCTAAATTTTTAGAAATTACTAAAATAATAGGGTCCCACAAAACCCACCCTTAATTCCACCCAGAACGCTAACCCAACTCTTCCTCTCCCCCACATCTTTGTCTTCTTTGGCACATGAGCACCATTAGTGAACCCCTATAGAGTCCCCTTCCTCCCTGGAATTCCACCGTTAGTTCCTTAGCTATCACCACCACCCAACCATCGAAGCTAAAACCACTATATCTTCAATTCTTGCATAATATCTTCCCCCGTGTTCTAAACCTAGATTTTTTCTTATGAAATTGGACTTCTATATATCTCAGATAAATAGGTATCTCCAACATCGACAAATCAACTAGTATCACCAACTTCATTGAAATCCATCGTATCCAAACTAGTGCATCGAAGACTAGGTATCGTCAAGTTCCCACTGTCGTTGTTCTTCCTTTTCCTTAGAAAACTGAATTTGACGGAACGACGAGGAGGGATTAGGAAGTTGGTTATCCAGAATCGACTAATGTGTCAAAAAGTAGGGTGGTGGTGGTGGTTGAAGAGATCATCAATGGTGTTTTAGGGAGGACGGTTCGTACAAAGAAGGATGAATGGAAGGAAAAAAAGGAAGAAAAGGGGAAAGAACCTACGTGCTGTAAATGGGGGTGTTTGTTTTTTTTCTTTTTCTTTTTAAAATTTAAAAAGACAAAATTGCAAGTTTGGTATGTTGTAGGTCAAAAATTGGATGTCTGGTCCAAAAGGTTTTGGAGTTGCATCGGTGGTCCAAAATATTTCATTTCTTGTGAATTTGATTTAAAGTTACTTAAAAGCATTTAAAGTGATGAATTTCCCTTTTAATTTAGTTTTTTTTCTTTACAACAATTAAAAAAATATCTCTCTCTATCTATCTATCTATCTATCTATCTATCTATCTAAAGTTTATAGATTAGGAATCCATAGATCTACTATAATCTAGACCAATTGATTTCTTGTTAAGTGTAACTGTGGAAATATTTAGATCTAGCTCTGTGAATCTTTTGTTTGGTAAATCCCTTGAAGATCTATTGAAGGAAATAATGTTTTGTTATATTTTTGTTGTATGAGAGGCACACATGAACCTGTGTATTCTCCTTTGTTGATTTCGTATCTGATTCTTTTGGATTAGTCGGTATCACATCTGATTCATCATCGTTCTGATCAGATTCTTATCGGAGCTGTAATTTTTTGCCGCATCTGATTTGTTCTATTGTTGAGGTTTCTATCAAGATCTGGTGGTTCTAAAATCAGATCTGACTAATACACGATGTATCTGTAGTTTTTTTTATAGCAGATCCTTGTAGATCCATTACATGGTTTTTTAGATCCGGTGATCCAGTTTTTTGGTTCAGTTCTTTGAAATTCTGTTTGTTGGCAAAGAGTTGGTCGTTATTTTTTCAAATCTATGATTAGTTAGTATCACTCCCCTTTCCTCCTCCTTCTGTAGCTAAAGCCACCAGCACCATCCCAAGGTTGGGGAACACATATCACCACTGTACAACCCTAATTGTTTTTCGTTCGAGCTTCTTTTCGTTATCACATCTACTTCAGATATGTTCATCGAGAGGTTCCGGTTTGGTTAGGGTGTATGTTCATCAGATTTTGTGTGTATGTATTCATCTGGTTTCGTGTGTATTTGTTTACATCTGATCTGATTATGTGTCTGTGTATGTTCATCTGATTTCGTGTGTGTATATGTGTATACATCTTATCTGATTTTGTGTATGTGTGTGTGTGTGTGTTCATCAGGTGTAGTTTTGTGTATGGTTTATGTTTCCGAGATGATTTTTTGTTGGAGATGAAGTGGCAGAAAAAGTTTAGGTGGAGATAGAGGTGACAGACGGTGGTGGCGGCGGACTGTGGTGGTGGCAGATGGTTGTTAAACGATGGTGGTGGCGAAAGATGTTCTTGAGTGTTTTTGAGTCTATGAATATGTTATTCGGTGTTTATCAGTGATATATATATATATATATATATATATATATATATATATATATATATATATTATAGATATATAGAGAGAGAGAGAGAGAGAGAGAGAGAGAGAGAGAGAGAGAAAAAAAGAGATAAGTTTGGAGGGAAAGGGTGGGGTTAGGAATTTTTATTTTGTTTTTCATTTAAAAAATAAATGAAATAAATAGAAATAATAATAGAAGCAATGAAAAAGGGCAAAGTAGTCTTTTTACAATTGGTAGGGACCACAGACACAACAAAAACATAATATATATAGACTTTTCAAGTTAAAAAAAAGTTGGGGACCAACGGTGCAAATTCCCAAACCACGGGGAGCATTCGTGGAATTTCCTCTTACTAATATCTCAAAGCGATGTTATAATTTTTAATTGAATCTATTATATCAACTATATAACATAAGATTAATTAAACATTACTTTCATATAGAAAACCTTTACATTTCCACAACAATAAGAGCTTAAAACATGAAAAGAATATAAACAAAGTTACATAGAAGATGAGTTGTATGCGCAACAGAATACGATGTTTTAACTTCGGAAAGCAAAACATTTTTCCATGAAAAAAGAAAGATTTGGTAAACAGTAAGTGAAGAGATGATCTTTCTTTATAGATATTATCATCTTGAGAAAAACCTGAAAATGTTGTAATTGCTATACAATGGCTTTTCCAATTTGAAATACGCAAATTCAGTCGAGGGAAAGGGATCAAAGGTTTTGATGACATATACATGCTCACCAAAAAGTCTTCTTGACCATTAAGGTTGAGGTTATTGTAGTGAGGATAGGTGTTGTGATTATGTATTTGGTGTTGTCCTCATTTGCACCATGAATGTATTGATATAACCTGAAAGAATAAAAAACATTGTAGTTAATCAGAATACATAAAAAAAACATGCAAGTTATTTAAATGTCCCTTTTTGTTGGTTGCCAAAGATATACTGCGATTAATTGGTGTATATGCTTTCAAACTAATTATCCTCGTAATGGTGGGAAAAGGAAAGATAGAAAAAACATACATGTGGAAGCCGTCGTGAGTAGATTTATTGAAGGAGGTACCACCGACCATATGAGTAGATATCCATGATGACTCACAGTAAAGTCTGATCTCAACGCACGGTGTTGAAAAACCAACCATGTATGCTGGGGATTCTATCGCACTCACATGACCATGGCCTGAACCATATAAGCTCGTTACTACCATAAAAGTAAGGAAATGTACAACTAGGATAATTATACATCCTTCTGCCATTTTTATGATTGATGATAGATTCAAAATATAACCAATTAACAATGCCTAACCACATAACCATCTTCTAACCGTAGGATTAATATATGAATGATTTAGATAAAAAATGTACATAATAAGAATTTACACCATTATCCAACAAATCACATATACTAAAGGGTATACTGGGTTTTTTTCGTCTTCACTACATAGTACACACCACCATTTGATCGCATCTTTTTCTTAACCCAAAAAAATTCCCAATTTCAACTATTTTTCGCCATTGGTGGTGTTCTTCCACGGTTTCTTGGAGATATTGACGCCACCAAATGACTTCCATCACCGCTGTCGGATATAGAGTTATTCCTCCCGATTGTCGAGTTTATGGACTATCAAATCCTCATACTGATGCCAGTAAATTTGGATTCTCCGATCTTCGATTACAAAAAGGGAATATCAATCGTCCCTTACATATATCGATCTTGAATTCTTGTTCTCCTCGTACATATTCCACTTATCGCATGTCATCTGTTGTGTAATACCACAAAAATACCGAGTAAAAATTTCATTTTTAATTAAGTTAAAGCCATTCATTCATTGTTCCAAAAGATGATCAGAGTTGAAGTATTCTCAAAACATCAGAGTAATTCGTAAACATTCAGTGTGGAATAAAACTCCAAAGGATGCAGTGCAATCAAGCCGAACCATTTCTTTTAATAATGAAGTACCTGAAACCATAAACATAAACTATAAGCACAAAAGTTAGTGAGTTCCCTAAAGTACCACATACAACATTTATACATATAACAACATGTGGCTGTGTCAGGTCCGTATCAACCCCATATGACAAAAATTGTTGTTTCAGGTCCTTATCAACCCCATATGACAAAAAATAGTTGTGTCCGTATCAACCACATATGACAAAAAATAGTTGTTTCAGGTTCGTATCAACCCCTGGGTCCGCATCAACCCACATACATAACCATACATACATATAAGTCTGAGTCACAAAGACAACAAGCACATACAAGCATAGCAGTAAATGTCACAAAGACCACTACTATCCTACAAAATAATCTAGTGGGCCGGTTTGGTGCCTTTGAACCACAAGCATAGTGAGGAGACTCACCTAAACTGTTCAACAGAAGCCCAATAGCTACATCAAGAAAAAAACATCCCAACTTAAGCTTCCTAAAGCCAAACTGAAACAATTCCCTAGCCAAATGTTCAATTCTACTCAAGTTTGACTAAAAGTCAAACTGGTTAAAAAGTAAACGTTGAAAGGAAGTCAACAAAAGTCAAAGTCCATGGCAGTTGAGTACGCCCACCATACACGAGCTGGTTCCAATATTCCCATTATGCACTTTATCCATTATGGCCTTTGTCTAGACCTCAGATCTAGACTCAAAACATCGACTTAAGTCATATGGTTTCCATATTTATGACTTTCCATGGCTAGAAAAGTTCCAAAAGCTAAACCCTAACTTATTTATCCATTAAGACATATTAACTCTTGCATGGAAGGGATAGAAGGACCAAGATCACATTTTTATGGTTCCTAATAGCTCCATAATGGATAAATTTTCAAATTTTATTCATTAGTGTTGAGATAAAATCTCCAAAGATCGATAGATTCAAACAGGTAATGGAAAAACAAGAACACAAGAAAGATTCAAAATATGATGAATGATTCAAAGTCACGCCTTAGAAGAGCTCAAAGAAGAACTGCTACTATAGAGGCGTGTAGGGTTACAAGACTATTTCAAAGATTACAAAACACGGTGCATGTATTCACCTTAAATATCAAAACCCTAATAATTAAATAACGGGTGGATAGGCCCAAAACGATAAAATAATGGACTATTCTATTAAACATAATGACGCAACACTTATACCCAACAATCTCCCCCTTTA